ATTTTTTAGTTCTGGTTTGAAGAGTATTCTCACTCCTCAGTCTCATCACAGTTTTATTCCTATGCAAAGGCGCAGTAAAATGACTGTAGCTGCCAGGCTAGGACCAGATTTGACTGCTTCAAGTTTTAGAAGCTTTTTAGGAATCCCGGACACTTGCTCAGTTCGTGAACCCACTCCAAACTCTGTGTTTCTATTTGGGTACTGTTGTACTCAGTCCAGCTAGATTAAAGCTAACTAGAGATGCCTTCTCAACATAGCAAAGCCATAGCCTCAGGGTCCCTGGACCTGTAGGGAGCATGTCCTCACTCCCAAGCTGTACAAGCTATTTTTGGATTGCACAAAATGGATGTCAAGATGATATGAATGGGACTTACCCGAGATCCATGTTTTGCACCACCAGTTCAAAGTTGAAGGTGTTCCTTCTAACCCCTGTTCTAAGTTCTATGTTAAAAGTGTTCCTTGTAACCCCTGTTCTATTTCCGTTTCTGTCGGGTCACTGCCGGGGTTACCTGCTTCCCAACATGGTGACCAGAGTATATGCAAATCAGCTACCAAAGAACACCATCCTGGACAACAAACCCAACGCATGGAGTATCAATGCACAAAATAAAAGAATCAAGAGCGACACCCTAGAGTCGGGATCAAGAGGCACCATCCACCAGCTCCGCTCTCCTCACCGTGACAAACATGAGACTCGCCAGGAATGACACCCCTGGACCTTGGAGCCAGCGAGGACTCTGGGTATACCCACAAGGACGGAGATCCTGGTTCTGCCTACATTGCACTCCAGTGGGAAGAGCTGTATTCCTCCTCCTCTGAGTCGCTTCTGGGAAGCAGCGACAGTGTGCGCGTGACCCGTCAGGCCCCCACCCTAAGCTGATTCCAATAAAAGCATTAAGAAAGGAGAAGAAGGTCTCCTTGCCCTGTTTTTATCAAAGAGACCTGCTGTAATCAAACACTGGTTAAGAACAGAACCTGTCTTCAGCAAAGAGATGGCTCGTGATGGCTTCCACAGATGTTCCTAAAATGCTGTGCTGCTCTAATCAGTTTTTCAAAGGTCTATGCATCATGCTCTCTATGGAAGGGCAGAGTGTGCACATGCCATCAGGTGAGGAAGCAGAAGAAAATAGTATTACGTAACAGAGAGCTGGCTTTGAGTGTAGAAGCAACCGATGTCTCGTATGGCGTCTTTCTTTTGTCACCATCTTTCACACCCTCCCGCTTACACTCCAAGGTCTGCAAGCCTTGTCTGGAAGCACACGGTGCCAGCGTGACACACAGCCCAGTGCCAGTGCAAGGCTCCACATAGTGGCAGTGTGGCACACGACAGCGGTGTGACACTCAGGGCAGCACTAGGGTGACATACAAAACACTGCTGGTGTGACAGAGCTGGGACACGCAGGCAGGGTGGGAGGTCTCTGTGTGCCAGCTGAGGTGCAGAAAAACACAGCTGTCAATGTAAACACGTCAGTTCTTGATCCTGTGTGTAGGCAGACCTTGGACCCGCGCAGCTGGCTAAAAGGCAGGTACATTGCTTTACCCACAAAATGGTGTGGGCACGGTGCAGACATTTAAGACTGACTGCCTGGAATGCAGAGCTTGGGCACAGAAAATTAAAGCTCAATAAGCACAGGTCTGACGAAAAATGCCCGGAAAGGGTAGAACAAGGGGGCGATATAAAAAGCCGTGCTCGCTATGGCCACCCTGGCTTCCCCCATCCAGCCTGGCCCACGCAACAGAAACCACCATGTGCAGGAGCTGGGGCTGTCCTCAGGAAAACCCGCCATGGAGGGGGCAGGGGCTGCCGGCCCTCAGGAAAACCCGCCATGGAGGGGGCAGGGTCTGCCAGCCCTCAGGGAAAGCCATCATGGGGTATGCCTGGGGCTGCCACCCCTCAAGGAAACCTGACATGGCAGCCACCTCCAGAGGCTTTGATGTACTTGTTTTTTGGTTTAGTGACCTTCAAAGATCAATTTAACATCTTTGCAAACATGCATGTCATACAAGGGTACTTAAAAATTGAGTCTGATCTAATTATCAAAGATAAAGCCTGTTCCCTCTAAACTTACCTTTTCATGATTTCCAAACAACACATGAAAAAAATAGTTTTCTTATATTTGATTTAAAACATCCATAATGCAAAATTCACTCTGAAGGCAGGAGAAAACAATAAAAATAGGATGTAGGCAATCTTCAAAAGGCACAGAGAAGAAAACAAAAATTAAATAAGAGAAGCTTAGAAAAAATAGTTTTTCTCCTTCAAATAGCAAATACTAGAAGATGAACTTTTGTTGTCTTATTTATCCCTCACCAAACAAGGCACTTTACAACATTTTTTAGTCTCAGTGGTGTATTTCTCCAATCGCTGACTTGCCATTTAAGCTCCGGTTTATCAAAAATACACAACAAGGGATTCTCCATGGAGGAGGGTTGCAAAAGCCTCTGGATTCCTGACCATTCACCTGTGCCAATGCTCACAGTTATCTCCTAACACACCTGAGCTTCCTGTCTTTCTCTGAGGGAAGGATTCAGCTCAAGTCTAGGAAACGGGGCAGGGGAGACCAAAAGCTTCCCCTGAGACGCTTTCTGGAAGGCCTGCAAGGACCCTGTCTTTCTTCGGGACAGAGTGTGATCATCAGTGTCTTGCCCTAGATGCCCCCTCTGTTCCAGAAGGACTTTTGTCCACTTCATCGCTTGTCTGTCCCTCCACTTCCAGGGCCTCCAACCTGCTCTGTAAGGTACTAAATGTGTAAGTCGACTGTGAGGTTTCAGAATAAAGCAGTCAGCATGGCTCTAACTAGGTTTTTTTAGTCAGGCTTACAAATATTTTTTGAGAAGAAGGAGAGAAGGGGGAGATTCCACACCAGAATTCAGCACAGTCTGGCCAGCTTTCTCAGCTGGGTTCTTGAAGCACAATGCCCAGCGCTCGCACTGCGCCGTCTTTACCTGTGTTCTGGTGACCGGGACCATCCCATGGTCAGGCCCAGGATGATGTTGGTGCCAAAGCCCTGTTGCCTGCAAACATCACACTCTTTTTTTACCCAGCTGGAGCTGAGTTCAGCCTATTTGCTGAGTTGACTTTATCCAAGTTTTCCTTATCTTGGCAGTTCTACCAGATGTCTTTATGGCCCCTAAATCCTGCATCCTTTGTGTCCCCTGGCAGTGGGCATCCTTCTTCTCAAGCTTTGTCAGCCTCCCTCTGGGGCTGATATCTGTGAAACTGAGCCTTAAAAAGACAATTGTAGCAACAAGTCCTTTACTTTCCTAACACCTGGATATTGAGAATCCGCCAGCTATTCACCAGTCTTCACAGAAGTAAATGTGAATGCCGTTTATTTCTATTATTAACACACCTTTTACAGGGTTCTACAGGGTCCGCGGGCTAAGCAAGTTACTATTGGCTAATACAAACAGGTTTACATTCTTTCTCTTACACACAAGAATATTGTTTTGCTTTACTCTCTCTTCTGCAGGAAGGTTTCAAGGATTTTAGCCTTTAATATCACGACTTATTTCTAAGACTGGTTTGTGCAGACAGGCCTTTACTAATATATAAAATATATCAACACCTGGACATCACTTGGAGCTTGCAGACTGCTGTGTGTGTCACAGGTGAGATGTCTCTTCTTGTGGATCAGGCTTGAAAGTGTGTAAAGCTCAAGCACGAAAGGCCATCCTTTCTTCAGGAAATGTGACCTAGGCCGCAGTTTGCAACAGCTCCGCGCCCGCCCCTTCCTGAGAGCCAGACCGCTGGCGGCGCCATTCCAGGGCTCAGGGCGCTCCCTGCTGGGCCAGAGCCGCCATGACAGCGCGGGCGCCGTGCGGCGGGGGCTGGAGGGCGGGAAGGGGAGGGCGGGCGCGAGGGCCGGGGCGGTTGGTGCCCAGAGCCGGGCTGGCGCTGCTCCCTCAGAGCGTTCCCGGCCCGCGCTCGGGAGCCGTGCGGCTCTTGCTCGGGCTCTGGGACAAGCGTGCGGCCGCTGCTGGGCCCCGGCCCGCAGATCTCGCTGCTGGCCGAGGCTGGCCGAGGCTGCAGTGCCAGAGCTGCCGTGCGGCGTGGCACTGCCAGGGCCTCCCGGCCGGGCCTGGCTGGAGGTGCCCACACCTGAGGGAAAGCCCGCCATGGCAGCGCCGGGGCCGCTCCTACCCCGGGGCCGCCGGCAGGAGCCACGGCTGGGATGTGCCGACAGACCGGCACTGCTTGCACGTCTTCAGTAGATGGAGACAGTGGCATCACAAGAGAGCAAAATAGTACAAACACCTGATACAAAACTCCAGAGGAAAACCATAGAACTGAAAGGAAAATGAAGGTGTGCCAAAAGATAAAGAGCAAGAGAAGGAAGACTGAAAACATACCAAATCTTAATCTTCGTAGTAATTTTTACTATAACAAGGGAAACATGATGATGGAAAAAGCCTACCAAACGTTTTGACAATAAAAAAGGGCCATTTTCCTAATTGTACAAGCGTGTTAAACTCTTAAAATAAAGCAGGCACCATTTCTTTGTCTGGTCATGCCAGTTTAATGATGCCATTTGATTCAGTTGTCCCTCAAATACTTCACATAAAGTGAACTGAGTATTTAGATTCCAAGGAATCCATGCATAATTAGTAAAAGAAATCTGCCATTTTGTAGTAGTTCTGTAGTTAGCTAGTAAAAGAAGTCTTAGTTTTGCCAGTGGTGCTGATCCCTGACCATCCATGCAGGTCGCCTGGAAATGGATTTTTTAGTAATGGACTGCTACAAAATAATGTGTTTTCTGCTGTTAAGCTGGTACAAACATATTCACTTTTATAGTAAAACCCCAAGTGACCCAAGCAGACTGCTCTTTCTTTTCCACTTGACGTAGATGTAAATCCATGCAGGTTAAAATATGACCACACCTTGGTGCTCTGTCCCCTACAGCATGCATCTGTGTCCCCTGTGTGAGTCTGAGTCAGGCACCTGCGGCGACAAACGGGAGAAATAGGGGCTCTATGCCCGAGTGCTCTGCCAGGTGAGTGGCTCCAGGCACTCCCTCCACTATTACAATGGGCAATCCCTGCCACCCTGTCCTCATCAGCTCTTGCCCTTCAGTATTTTGCCACGCTGCTTTTTCGGCAAGAAAACGAACGTATTGGACTCATGGGCTTTCACTCACGAGATATCCAAATTGCAGTCAGGTGTGGTGGGTGGCACAGAAGGTGGGAGCCCAGCAAAAGAGCAGGAGGATTTGTACCAGGAGAGGCTGACCAGAGCTTAGCCCAGAGCCCCAGCAAGGAAGGCCGGCCATGCAGCCAGCTGTGGGACAAAGTCTGGCTCCCAGCAGCTCCGTGGAGCCTCTGGCACAGGAGCTCCCCTCACCAGCTGGCTCTGTGGGCTGAGCGCCAGCAGCGGCCCCATCCTGCTCTCTGCCTGCAGCCCTGGGGCGGCCTGGGGAGGTCCCCAGGCTGCCGCTGATGGGGCTGCCTGGCTCATTCCAGCACTGCTGCGTCTGCGGCCAGAGCGGGGCCACCATCCTGTGCTGCAAGGAAGGCTGCAACAGATGGTTCCACCTGCCCTGTGCCAAGGAGGGCGGCTGTGTTACACAGTACATTGCCCCATACAGGTAGCTCCTCTCCCCTTCTGGCCACCCCCAGGGAAGGGCCCAGCAGTTCTCATTTTTCCCATCCCTTTGCCCCCAGGTCCTAGTGCCCTGAGCACCGCCCAGAGCAGGACTTGTTTGATGTGCTTGAGGCGGCAGTCTCAATTGTAGTTGTAGTAGTAGCTCCAGTTGTAGTAGTAGTGTAGCAGTTGTTGTTAGCAGCCTCAGGACATTTCTAGATGTGCTGGGCCTGACCACAGAGAAACAGCTCCTTCCAGCAAAGCTGAACACTGAATCCACCTGTCCTGTCAAGGAGTTGCCGGCACAGCAACTCCTTGACACTGTCAGGGACAATCCTGAGACGCAGCCGCTCCCAGCAGTGACGTTGGGCCTCAACTCAGACCTGGCAAAGGAGCACGTAGCATTATCTTTTCTTTCTAGTGCGTTTGCTGCCATTAGGGAAGGTGAGCAAGGTCAATACAGGCAAAGATTTGAGATTTGCAGGTCTCTGGGAAAACCGTGTTAGCTCTTGCTGTTCCTATTGGCAGAAAAGAAATCTCTGCTTAATACATTGATTTCTATGTCCCCGTGTGAGACAGTCATTAAGTGAGTCATTATTAAGTGAGAAGTCATTTAATGATGCAGCTAATTAAAAAGAACATTTGTTCCTGCCTTTTAGACTCCAACCACAAATGTTTCCCCACTGCTTACCTGTCTTGGTTTGAGACAAGTTAGGAGGAAATATCCTGAAAGGAGCATCTCTAAAGAAGGCAGACTTTGGCATGGCCTCCCCCCACCAAACAAAAGGAATTTCCTGGAGCAAAGGGAAAAAAACCTGTTTATTTAACAAGCAGAGTGCACGCAGGCACGGGGGAAAATGAATGGATACTGTTAAGTAATACACCTTCTGGCTGCAGAGAAAGCTGGCAGATTTTAGAGTCTTGCTTGGCTCCTCCCAAGGTCCAGAGCTGGGATTTGGTGTCCTGTGGCCTCCCATGCCTGGACTGCAGCGTGGGGCTCCCAGTGATGGTCTGGTATCTCAAACTGGAGCAAAGCTGAACAGTTACAGAAGGAGCCACAGAAATTATCAGAGAAGCTGTATGCAGTCCTGAGCAACTTCTTGCCTCAGCTGGCAAAACTGAAGCTAGCTACAAGCAAGAATTTAACTCCCCCTATCTCTGCTGGGAAAGAATCAATGCTGAGAGTGGAGGAGAACCTGTGTTTGAACAGACAGCCAAAAGAACACCCCTGGTTTCCCCCCATCCCCTGGGCCTAGCATAAAGGACCCATGTCTGGGCATAGAGCAGATGACAGGGGAGACAGTGTCATACAGTCAACCTAGACATTGCCCTTGAAAGGTAACCACTCCTTCATGGGCCTGGATACTTTTAGGGAAACATGAAAAGCAAGGCAGTGCTTAGGGAAGCTGTGTTTTTTCAATATATTTGCTAGAAGGAAAACATGGACCAAACTAGCAACGTTCCTTTACTGTGGGAAAAACATCCTCCTGGTTTGGACTACCGAGACAAGGACGGTTGAAACCTCTCCAGTCAGATGTACACAGAAAACTCCCAAGGAATTCTGTGGGTTTCCGCTGAGTCAGTGTAAAAGATGATGTTTCTCGGGAGCTTAATACTAATACTTAATACTAAATTTTTAATACAAAATGTCAAAGTTATTAGATTATTAGATGACAGGCGAATTGCAGTTGGGAGGCAACTGACGTGGTCCCCAGCTTTATCTCCTGTTCCCAACAGTGATCAGCACGGGCATGAAATCAGGTTCATCTCAGTTTATTGCCAAGAGGTCTAGAGGAAAATGTCGGTGCACCAAGAGCAGGTTTGGAATCTGTGCAGTGCAAGAGACTCTGCACAAGCTCTCTGGGCAACCGACTGCCAGGGGCAGGAGCCCTGGGGTGGCCGTGCCTGAACAGCACCTTTGTGCCTACAGTGCCACCCTCGATGGCTGCCCTGGAGCCTGGGATTGGACCCTGCACTTGCTGCAGGAGTCTCTGGCCTGGTTCCGTGCTGACCAAAGGCTTGGAACCATGTCAGAACCTCGGTTGCCAAGGGGGTGGCCTCAAGTGGCTACCGGGCATGTGAGGCCATGGCTGCGTGAATCTTGGGAGCAAGATGCTGATGTCAGAGTGGCCATTGTGACGCGTGCGACCAAAGCCCCAAAAGGGAAGGCTGGGCTCAGGCCGTGTGTCAGTGCGACCTGGCAACGGGAGGAGAAGGTAAGACAGGGAAGCAGCTGCCCAGGGACCAGAGGGGCCCCACACCTCGGGCCTCTGGGCCTGTGCTGCAGGCTCACCTGCCTCTCCCTTCCCAGAATCAGCGCAGGAATATCCAGAGGAGACGGCGGTGTTCCTCAGCGCGACGACGGGAGCAGAAGGCGGACAGGAGCAGGGCTCACGCAGGGCTGACCAGGGAGTAGCACCCTCGTAGCTCTGGGCCTGTTCTCCAAACTCCCATCACTTTTCTTCCTCCCACAGAGAGAGGACCAGCACCTGGCGGAGACAGCGGCGTTCCTGGACAGGGACTCAGCGCTGACAGCCGCCATGTGCGACAGGGAGCAGGAGGGCTCTGATGGCAGAGAGCAAGGTGAGGGCAAAGCAGCCCCTCTCACAGCCTGGCCCAGGGGCTGTCGGGGTGGCCAGCGTGGGGCCCAGAGCAGAGGCCAAAGGAGGCAGGAGCTGCTCAGCCAGGCCAGGGCTGGCAGC